ATCAATTGGTTTGGCAAAACAACAGGGAAAACTGTAACAGAACAACTTCCCTCACAATGTCAGTCAATGAAACCATAAAAGAGGAGTGCAACTTACATCACTGATAGTCACATTATTCCTGGAACTGGAAAGTTCACATATGGATGCTTTAGTTTAATGCTGTCTCTGAAAGCACATACGGAATCAGGGTGGAGAGCAGGCAGTTGTGTTGCACAGTACAAATAAAGTGTACAGAGAAAAAGAACCCATTCATAATGTTCCATCAATCCAAAATATTTTTTCAATGTATTCTCTGTAACACTGGGAACCTTCTGCCAGCCTTTTTTCCAACCCTTACTCAAAATTGCAACTACCGAGGGCTCTGTGGAATCCAAGAGAAGGGAGAAGGTGCTACAAAGCTGTCACCAGCCACTGCTTTTCATTCTGCCGTTCATGTTCTTATTTCTATACTTCTCACTCTGACTGTGCAGTTTGAGTGCTAAGGCTTTTTCCAGCTTCCTTCCTTCCTCCCACCTATTCTTACTCTCATGACGTCTGTGAACAACTTCTGTACAAGGATTTTTCCTACTGATTCACTCGACAACACAAACTTTCATCCTGCTTCTATTTTGCTGAACCACAAGGGTAGCTCTAAAACTAGTGAAAATAAATCATTAGTGAACAGCAAACATAGACCCAGCTCAAACCTGACAAATATTTTATCTGCACTGATTCAGCATAGTGCTTGGCTGAACTACAGCAAATTTAAACATGAGCTTAGATGATTTGCTTTGATAAGCACTTCTTATGATATTAAATACATATGCTGACTATAGCTAAAATCCTCATTATATCAAGTCAGGAGAAGAGCTGTGTACACACTGGGTCACCCCTGTATGGAAAGTTGATGAGCAGGCAGAGGGGAACTATGGTGATCTGCAACAACTCTCCTGGTATAGATGTCCAACTGAAAATCATTACTGTGTAGTGCATCTGTCTTAAGACTACGCAGTCAAAAAACCTTTCAATTTTAATGTTTAAGGAAAAAAAACCAAAACAACAAAACTAAGCACCAAAACCCAAAGTTCTAGGCAAGCTACTCAGTAAATGATTTTTTTGGAAAGAAAATATGGATTGCACTTGTGTAGTAGCCAGTGCATCTTAGAGACTTCTCTTGGTATTAAATGTCATACAGTAGATTAACTTCCAAGTACATGAAATTAAATCTCAGGTTAAAGGCTGCTCCACATTTGGTGCATGCTATATATTTATTCATTATGATTCGTCCTCAGCACCCATAGTAGCCATACCCGGGGTCGCACATTTTTCTGTGCCCTATCCTCAGCAGTTGCCTTCCATCCTTCAAGATGCAGAGACTGAGTGCATCTCTTGGGCCTTCCACAGCACAGAGAGAGCCAGGACTGCTACAGGAGCCAGAGGTAACCGAGCTGCTGCCTTCTTCCATCCTACAAGGGGCAACTGCTGCCAACACATTATATACTCTGTTGTGCAGCAGGAACAGACCAGTTCTCCATTTGGTTTGTGACAGGCACAAGGAGATACGAGGTTGACTGGGCTGTCTTCTGTCACCTCAAGCAGGCAGAGGGGAGAGGAAGTGGCCAGGCAGCCTGCAAGTGGATCACTCTGTCATTTATGATTACAATACATCACACGCTACATATGGGTTATAAATGGATAACTGAAATACCTTTCACCGCTGGGAATGTCCCGGTTTTGTGCTTTTGGGCCACAAAATAAGTTGTCTGCATACAATGGCAAATTGTATGCAGACAACATATACATATGCTGCCTGCTGGTATGTAAAATCTACTAACATGTATAAATTAGAAAGCGATCATGGTTTAAGAGTACAGAAAATATAAATAACTGAGGTGAAGAATGCACATGAAGGTCATTATGAAGAACATATGACTGAATTGCAAAAAGATGCACTTTTACCATTTAAATATCATCAAATTATTTTGGTTAAAGTACGCCATTTATAAGTTAGATGAATGGAAATAGTTCATCCACTAAAAGAATAATGAAGGTGCTTATTACAGCTTAGAATCAACTGTAACTGTATCTCTGGGGTTTTTGTTTTGTTTTGTTTTAACTAATGTAATATCCCATTCCTTTGTTACTCATCTTGCCAATCACTCCCAAAACACAGTCTGATAGACTGTAATTCACTATAATAAGCTATTATCATACAACACATCAGAAAAAAAATGTAGCATTATCTCTTCCTACAGCAAGAGTCATGGTCAGCGAATTATAAATACTACAGGCTGCAGCTAATAACCAAGTGAAAAATAATAATTAAAAAAATCCCTGCTAACTAGAATTGCTCATATTTTTTTTTTGGCATGTATCCTCTGAACAAATTTTCAGGACACGTATTCTTGTGTCTGAACCTGGATGGAACACCACAGTAACAAGAACTTCTAAGACTACTTAAGATACTATTAAATATTTAATTAATACAAGACTCTTTCTGTTATAACAAATTTTAATACAATTATACATTCAAAAGTGGAAAAAATAAAAACAAGGTTAAGTAAATTTGAAAGGAACAAGAATTAAAGTACATGCAAACTGATTACAGCATTGCAAACTAATTACTAATATTCCACAGAAAGTCTCCCTCACTTAAATTTATCTTATACGAGATCAAGCATTTAACCTAAATAGGAGGCCAGCAAACATGTCCATCATTTTAGTAAAGAAAATATAAAATTAATAATGAGGCTGAACAATAAAATTGATAGCAGATCACTGAGATGGATTCTCACAGTGTATGTTTAAACATAAAGCAAAACTAACAAAACAAGAACCTTACCGAAATTGCAAAAGTTTTTAATGGTATCTCCTCCGTTCTCATAAAGGAACTTACAGCTGTTGAAAAGCTGTATCTACAACCACAGACATACCAGACAGAAGCAAATTCAAAGGTCTCTAGCTCTGCGGAGCTAAACAGAGTTTGACTGATCTGTGACCAAACCTTTCCAATGGAGGAAGGAAATTGTCCTGTGCACACTTCTCGACGATTTGTATAAAATATTTTATTTCTTGGACACAGAGTCAGTTTTCCCCAACTGATGCCTAGGATGCATCAGCAGTAAATTGCTTCCACACAATCCATCACCTGACTAGACATATGAGATGTGTTCATTTGGTCACTCATATGAGGACATACATGGATACAGTACTATTGCATATGTTCTTCAGGAATAGACAGCTTTGTGATAGCTCTTAGAGCCAAAGAACAGTTAAATGTCGTTAAAATACCAGGTTTTGTGCATAAAAGAGCTTCTTTTTCTTTTTTTTTTCACTCTGGAAAGTGGGCAGTCCTAAAGAGGACGAAAGTAACAATCCCTCCACCCCTCAAAAGACGAAAGCACTATATAAAGGACTGTAAGGTGTTTCTGTGCCAGACCTACATGACCAAAGGACTGTTACAATCACTGCTCCACACTATCTCATTCTTTTTATTTCGCCAATGGAGCTGCATCCTGACCTAATTTCAAAGTCTTTTTTGCACAGACAACATCATCTTGTCTGAACTTTAAATACTTAGCCGCTTTTTGACACTGTTAAAAAAAAGTGTACATTCTGAAAAACCTACTTTCATCAGAGTGATACTGTTCTTAACTGCACTTTCCAGATTCAAGTATTATATTTTTCATTGCAGCAGCGGAGATAAAAAAGGACATCAGACAGAAAAATTTCCTCTCTGCAAAGAAAGGTGCCTGCAGCTTGCATAGGTAAGCTTAAAATTACTACTACTTTGTTTCACCTGACAAAATTTGGGCATTGACACAAAAAAGATAATTAGACTTCTAAATGACTGAATTCAACAATTACTTTATGAATTTAACTCCTTATAATAAAAGAATTTAATACATTTTGGTTCAACAATCCATATGGGACTTAGTGAACACTAAAATGCAACAGCTATAAAAGCTAGTTTAATTTGCAAGTTGTCAAACATGCCTACAGCATAAGTTTTAAATATGACTTTTACAACTTTTTGCTATCTAGTCAACTTGGAGTCTGGGCTTTTTATCATAGCTACACAGAATCCTCTTCAGTATCTGAGTTCATTTGCTTACAGCTGCTTAAAAAAAATTATTAGTCTGTAAGTTTGAAATCTGTTGATTTTTTTCATACGATTTGGTATGGAACAAAAACTAACCTGGACACACTTCACTAAAATAGTATCCGTAAAACAACAAAATCTCTCTTCACTACAGGTTAGTAAGCTGAAATGCCAATTTTAATATGTGGTCATTGTACAGTGCTTCGATTTCTTATTTTCAGCCTGGAAATTAAGAAAAGATTGAAGACTGAACTTGGAAAAAATAAATACTTTGCAGTTTTTAACAATCTTTCATGTGTTTAAAAATACAGACTAAATTGTTTATGCAAAATATACATCTAAGATTAGAGCTCTGAACAAAGTAACATTAGATACAGACATCAGCACAAAAAAAACACATCTAGCCTGATTCCTGCATTATGCACAGTTTAGTTTGTACTTAAATGGAGGCACAGGATACTCCTCTGCATTTCTGCAATTAAAGTAGTACTTTGCACTTATTTTGCTTATTTAACTTAAAATAGCCTAGAAGTGGTTTCCAAAGTAGGTTACAGATGTTCCAGAAGATTGAGAAATAAACCCAAGACCACACAAGTTAGTGTCAGACCCTATTATGAACCTTCTGTCTCATAATTTATTTTATTAGATTCTATGCATGTAAAATCTTTGGGGTTTAACATCAGTCAACTTTTCTTCACAAAATCGCAGTGGAAGACACCCAAAACAGTAACCTCGCACAAACTCAAGATGATAACCCCAGAGGACAAACAGCAGTTAGTAAGACTGGAAAGTAGGGGAGAAAAAGGAACAGTTAAGATAAGACCAAAGAATAAAAGAGATGTTAGATGCATATCACAGAAGAGTAATTCTTTTACTTGTTTTCCAGCACTGACCACTCATTCAAGAAATACTGTCGTAAATGAGAAATTCAACATGTCTTCTTCAGCCATCCTTGGCTACTACTGTAGCTCTACCAGTCATCTACTCTCTCCTATTTCCTGCTGGAAGTTCTGGAAATATTCTCGCTGCCTGGATATTTTCACGGCAAGCCCCCACAAAAAGAGCGCAATACATTTACCTGGCAAACCTTGTCACTGCAAATTTACTTGTATGTAGCACAATGCCTTTTCTGGCTGCCTATTTTGCAAGGGGGTACCAATGGACTTATGATTCTGTAGCGTGTAGAATAGCAAATCACTTTGGGACTCTCATTATGCATGTCAGTATGTATGTTACAATTATAATTTTATGTTCAATTGCTCTAAGTCAGTACGCAACACTGAAGAAAAACAGTGATGCACAATATTCTCAAGCAGTTAATGAAAACTTTTACAGATGTGTACTTAAAAAGTTTCGTCAGCCAAAATTTGCTAAATATTTGTGCATTGTTATATGGCTGACTGTGCTCTGCATAACGGTAACAGCTATAACATATAACATCCAGGCAAGGGCTATGGAAGAATTTCACATATGCTACAACATCAGAGTAGAAGCTGGTGAATTTACTGCAATGATTGCAGCTTCTTTTGCCACTGCATGTTTTTTTGTATCTTTTATGACAGTTTTGTTGTCATACTATTCTCTTACCAGACACCTGAATAAAATACAAAAAAATACCTGTATTGGAGAAAAACATCTAATTTACAGTACAGTGAAACGAAACATTCTTGTCATCCAGATGATATTAACTGTCTGCTTTCTTCCATATCATATTTTTAGGCCAATTTTTTACATACTGCTTACAAGTAATGACTGTCCAAGGTTAAACTATCTAGTGGAAACAAAAAATTTCCTTACTTGTCTTGCTGCTGCTAAGAGTAGTTTAGATCCAGTTATAACCCTTCTGCTAGATAAAACATTTAAGAAAAGTCTCTATGGCTTGTTTACAAAATCCACACCAGAACACCACAAACGTAAAGCTGATACTTTTACTGAAGAGACTCCCGAAATGTGAAGGAATATGGAATGATTTTAGAGAATATAAGTAACAACTAACTCATTTTAACCACCTATAACCAGATTTTGATATGAAATAGTAAATATTTAAATAAAATTATAACATTATTTGTATTTTTCTTACAAATGATCTTGCTCGTTACATCAACATTAGCCATAATAAATCTCATGTGTATATCCAAATGAATGCAAGTAATTTATACAGTGAACTGTGTAATACTACTTTACCCATGCAATGCAACAGACATTTTATGTTTGACCTATGGACAGTGTTTTCTACCCAAATAATCAAGGAAGAAGGCAGAAACCAGGCTGAAGTTGAGGACCCAGTTCTCTTTTATCATCAATAAAAGAGTCCCAGGTTTTGGACACGGGTTTCTTTAATAAAAAAGGCTGAACAAAGCACAGACACTGTCTCTGGAATGGCTGAACCAGGTATCAAAGGCTTAAGGAAGCGTGAGGAGAGAGCTACAAAACACATTCAAGATTAACATGTATTTTTTGTTCAGGAGTACTTGGGTAGAAGGTCAATTCATTTGTTTTAAAATTGGGAATGCACCATGACATGCTAAAACTCTTTAGTCCATAAAGAAAAGTTCTTGATGACATCTCATTCTAAATTTACTGAAAAATGATGTTATTTACTTCAACTATGTCCGCCACATTAGGGTTTTGCTATAACAACTGTTTTTTTTTAGGAGGAAAAACTGTGTTAAGAGATTATGCATTTTTTACTCTAGCCTTCACAGAAGTTTTTTTTAGGAGGAAAAACTGTGTTATTATGCATTTTTTACTCTAGCCTTCACAGAAAAACCTTTACTACAGCCTTGTACTAAAAGAGCAGAGATCTCAGATTAAAGGTTTAATTAATTTATCATCCTGTTCTGACATTCTTATCATGGCCACAGTGTTACTGAACTTACATCTACAACAGGGTGACTCTGAAGAGAAAGTTTTGATGGTGATGGACAACCCGCAGAGGGCAAAGTATCCCCAGATGAAGAGAAACTGGTGGCCTAGGATTTTACTTAAGTGTTTGAGAAGAATGGGTTTTATATCTGCTTCGTAGCTTCGTCAGGAATAATTTTTCTTGCAGTTTTATCCATGGCAGTCATGTTCAACAGCTGAGGCAGTGGCTGCCTTATTGGTATGCAGCCTTAGTGTACTCAGGATACTGTACTCACTCAAAAGAGCTACACACCTATTCCACTTCAAAGGTGGATTAACACATGCTGCTCCAGAAGGCACCTCCTTCACAACAATGTTTAAATCCAGACCATTTATAGAAGAGTGCATAAAGCACAAAAGATCTACAAAACTCCAACATATCTGAATGTACAAGAATATTCAGTGAAGAAAAAAAAAAGGATTAAATGCATACATGCAGTTATTTCTAACCTCTGGTACTACTTACGACTAAAAAAAACCTCCAAGAAAACAAATCACTGGAACTTCCATCCTCCTAGTCTGACCTTATGAGGTAAATTCTATGGTTTAATTAGGAAGGCATAAATGCTTATTATTTACCGGTATACAAAATACATTCAATGATAAACATTGAATGATCATTAGCAGTATAACAGTAGTGCACGCAGGAGATTTTGTGGAGTTTTTTATTGGTTGGTTTGTTTGTTTAACTGTAGAAGTTAGAATATCATGACGGCTAAGTAAAGATTTCAATTATTTTGAATCATTTCTGTAGAAGACACTTAAGATTACATGATGGTCTTTTCCCTTGCACAATCTTCTCTGGAACTGAGATCAAAGAGTTTACTGAATGATATAAAGTGCTATAAAATACTAGGTATTCTGAGAAATCCTATCACTCACCCAAAACTTCACAATAAAATGCAGTGAGCAATCTGTCTTCCCCACCTTATTACTGAGTTCCACGACAGGTACACTAAACTGACCCATGTGCCAGTAGACACAAAATATTAGGTCTTCTCTAGGAGAGATTCCAAGACTTCACATCATCTGAAAGCTGCTTCGTGATCTGCAGAAGTTAAAGAAAGATGCAAGCAAAACCCACAGAAAATCATAGGAATGTAGTATTTTATTTAATGCAATGTTACCTGTGATAGTAGAATTTAGCGATCGCTTCTTTCACAGGATTCCCATGTAGTGTTTAGCATACGACGAAGTTGGCAGCCTCAGGGTCTAATCCTACAAAGCGCTGTATGTAAGTTGCTCTGCAAACACAGTCCTTGAGCACGGATAGCCAGTTTGTGCAGGTGGGTGTCCAACTGCACAACACAACCAGTGCCCAAGTACCTACAGCAGGACTGAATTGAGCAGTTCAAGTTCTCCAGACGGCACAGTGCTGCTTAGACGACTGTTTTTAGATTAGTAGCTGTAAGTCTTGGTGAGCAAAGCTGTTTACTACCAATGTGTTCTTATAATTTGCACAGGCCTAGACTAAGAACCCACTACTTCTGTCCTTCCTTAAACACATTTTATAGAGAATGTATTTGCAGTTGTTAGGATATCTCAGCAGAGTGCCTGCCTGTGGTTGTTTTTCTTAGTACAGAGTTTTTGATGATAGCATAGGCTTAAGTCATTCTTTTTGTACTCTTCCAGTAAGTGCAGCATTCATCAAAAAGCCAAGAAAACATATGAAGCTTTGGGAACTACTGATAAAATATAATTTTGTGACAGACTCTTAGCAAGACCCCATTCCACCATTTTCTACATAGTACCCAAAAAATGATGTATACTTTACTTTCGTCCTATGTAGTCTGTTCAAGATGATGTTCATGGAGGAAAAATCCCTCAAATCAGAAAGGCATGAGGGAGGGACAGAGAAATACTTCAGCAAAACACAGCTCATGCATTAAACTTCTTGCACTGCTTAGACATACAGCTGCCAAATCAGAAGTCAGCAAATAACTTGTGAATTGTATAATAAAAAATAAAAGAATCCATTTCCATAGCAGGGAACATAAAATCCTAAGGCAAATATGCACAGCACATGGTTTGCAAAGCAGTTTAAAAGACTGCAAGTGTCCGTCTGCTTTCTGGTTAACCCATTCAAATGTGCTGCATGAGTGGCCACCTCATTGACCAGAAGATAGATGTTTTCTGACTGGCTAGGAAAATGACTGGAATATATAAACTTCTGAACAGAAAGCACGTAGATGTTGAGCTCTAAGTAGGTCAAGCAGCACAAATACATTTCCCAGCAAAATGGCTTCTGAACACCCAGCAGCCAGCTAACAGTACACTAGGAAAAGGGCAGGACAAAACAAGAATGGGGACTCCAGGACAGGAAGCATATGTTCAGGAGCGGACACAAACGGGGTAAAAAAAGTACAGCCTGAAGAAACATGAAGGAAAAAAATACCAAAAGCTTTATTCCTGGAGCCTCCTAACTTCTGCATTGAATGAAGAAGTGCTCCTTAGAAAAACATGGCCAAATAGGACACCTTAATTCTACCTCTGCTATTGATTTTGCAGCCTTATTAACAATTTAATATGTAACAAAATCCTCACAAAGCACTTGCTACTGGATCTCAAGGATCTAATAACTTCTAGAAAACTACTTTTTTATAGAAAAAGCATCAGTTATTACTGACTGTCCCTCAAAAAAACAGAAGAGGTTCCAAGCTAAAGTGAAAAGAGCAGAAGGAAAGTAACATGCAACAGATTTTCTCATTTTGGATATTCAGAGATTGGAAAGAGAAGATGGTCTTAAAGAACAACTTCTATTCCAGTTATTTTTTATATTGAATATACTTACCTAAACACACACAAACACATATGTAAAAGCCTTACTCATTTTCTAGATATACCTAAAAGCAGAAGCATAAGAGTTTCGAACTCTACTGGCAAAACTTGAAGTGCCTAACTACAAGTAGTTTAGGTAATGAAAGACAGAAGTGGAAACTCAGTGCACTCTCAGAATTCATATGGTTAATTAAGTTCTGTATAGTGCATAAACCAACATGCAAATCTATCCACAGATCAAGTCTCAAGTCATCTGGACCAACTGAGATTTGTGTATGAGACACACCACAGTGCATAATGCTTAGTACTACTCTCTGGAAAAAGTCTTTTTACTTCCAGTGACAGAAATACTGAACTGAATCTTAACAGCAGAGAAGGCAGAATCTGTATATTTTTGCTTTAGCAGTTTTACCTATGTAGATGATCGCACATTGGAAACAAGTATTCATACCTACTGAGATAAACCTATAACAAAAATTGCGGATGTTTACGTTTAGCCAAGAAGCTTGCCCTGACTCCAGTTGTACACCAATCATTTTATTTAGCAAAGAAACATACACAAGCACTCAAACTATATAGAAATCATACTTTCTTATTCCTGAAGGTGAAGTAAGAGAAAACACTATTTTGCAGGACAGAATATAGTGAAGAGGAGATTTGGAAGAAAGAGATAAACCACGTTTCTCCTGCTTCTTTGTCCTGTTTTAAAGGTCATCTCCCAGTCATCACTTTTTAACAATTGTATTAACAAACCACTTTGATTATTGTCTAATGCTGACAGCTCAAGAGAAAGTAGCTGACTTCAGTGACAAATAGTACTTGAACTCTAGCAAGGGTTTTATGGAAAATGACAAGCACCTCATTTCAGACCCACATTACTCCCACTTCCCTTTTTTTGTTCTCTTATATAAAGATAATTCTGTATATGAACTACTGTGTAATAACATTCTATATCAGAAAAGAGCCCATTTCAATGTTGCTGCTTTTGGTAGCCTTCTTTTTTGGGTGTTTCTGACACAGCAAGGTTCTGAAAGAATAAAAGGAATGCCTAAGTCCTATATTACTAGGTTGGCAGAATACGAATAAGTGATGTGGTGAAGGAAAAAGTTTTTGACATTCACATTTCTGATTCATAGCTGTCCTGAGTTTTCCGCTTTCCTGTATTAGCTTTTTCTATTTTCCTTATCCTACAATCCAACTTCCAAGCAGTGAATTAATGCAGGATCGCATTAACTGAAGGTGAAGCAAAGGTGCAATTGTCACTGATTATAA